TCACTTAGCCCATACAAACCTGCCTAACTGTTCTCCCATCCACCTTGTTCTTCCATTCCCCTCCCCCTTCTTTTGTATTGTGCCCTTCCCAGCACCCAAGCAATCCTGTGTCTATTCCTTACCCTGTGCTCCACTTTCCCCTCCCTCCCCTTCCGATACCCCCCACATCCCAGAAATCAGCAAATGATTTTTCTTCCTTTTTAGTATGGGTTTTTTTTCGTAGTCTTTTACAATATCGGTCCTATACAGTATTTCTCCTTTTGTGACTGACTACTTTCACTCAGCATAATGTCCTCAATGTTCATTCATGTTATGTGGTGGCTGGCAGCTTCCTTGTTATTCTTCAAGGTAGCATGATATTCCATTGTATGGTATGTCGCACAGTTTGTTTATCCATTCTTCAGTTGATGGGTACTTAGGCTGTCTCCATCTTTTTGCTATTGCAAATAGTGCTGCTATGAACACTGGTGTGCATATAGCTACTCATGATTTGGCTCATATTTCTTGTAGGTAAATGCCAAGTAGAGAAATTGCCGGATCATAAGGTATTTCTATTTCCAACCTTCTGAGGAAGCACCATATTGCTTTCCAGAGTGGTTGGACCATTTTGCAATCCCACCAGCAATGCAGAAGCATCCCAGTCTCTCCGCATCCTCACCAACATTTATTGTCCTCTCCTTTTTTTATCTTTGCTATTATTGCTGGTGTGAGATGATATCTCATTGTTTTGATTTGCATCTCTCTAATGCCTAGTGATCATGAACATTTCTTCATATGTTTGTTGGCTGCCTAGATCTCCTCCTAGGTGGAGTGTCTGTTCATGTCCTGTGCTCATTTTTAGCCTCTACTATTTTTTATTTCTCTTAACCAACAGCCAAAAGAGTAGTGCAAACAGTTAACACACTTAACTGCTAAGTGAAAAATTGGACGTTTGTGTCTACTTGCAGGTACCTTGGAAGAATGGCCTGACAACTTATTTCTAAAAAATCAGCCACTGAAATCCATGTGGGGCACAGTTCTTTCTACTCTGACCCACATGAAGTCACCATAAGTTGGGATCCATTTGATGGCAACTGACTTTTTAACAACCCAAAGCAATTCTCAACTAATACATATGCATCAATGAGCTTATTTGAAAATACTTTTGATTATCACATAGAAAAACATACATATTCTTTTGGTTCTGAACACTCATGAGAAGCCTTGCTGTTTGCCCCTTTAGGCTTGTGCTTCTGGTGGTCTCCAAGCCCCAAACCAAACTCATTGGTGGTGAGTTGATTATGATTCATAGTGACTCTACAGGGCAGATAGAACTGCCCCACAGGGTTTCTAAGGCTGCAAATCTTCACCCACACAGATTGCCTTTTCTGTCTCCTGCACAGTGGCTGGGCTGGTGGGCCTAAACCACTAGAGTTTTGGTTAGTAGTTGTGTGTTTAACCAAGGCACCACTAGGGCTCTTTCTCTTGGTTCAGTGACAGGAAATTGCATACTATGATGGGGAAAAATGAACAGGTATGCCCACGGACCCTCTGTCCATCTCTCTGGGCAGGGCCAGTGTCGGACACCTCTCAGCTCCTTCCCTCATGTATTTGTAAGGTCCTATTGTGGCAGTCCCAAATTCAACCCTAATCCCTGTTCCTGACCCAGCCTCCAAAAGTGGGAATGATTCCTTTCTAAGCAGTTCCTGGGAGCTTCATCCAATCCCTGAGAGGGTAGCTGTGAACTTTAAATAAAGTCAAGTCATGACTTAATCTCTCTGGTATTTAATAAGTCTGGATAGAAAAAGAAGGGGCAACTCTGATCAATGCTCTCTTGGGTTTTTTCCCTGAGAGGCCGCATTGTGAGCAGACATCACTGGGAGCCCTGGGAAATGAATTCCTGTCTTGGAGGGTAGTCCAGGGACGTGGCTTGTGGTGTTCATCTGGAATCATCTCTGAGATGGAAGCATGTCTTCCTAGCCCTGAGGTGTGCTGTGAAGCCTTACTCTCTGTTCCATTGACCCCCCGACACCTTTCTGATTGTTTGTCACATCGCCCCAGTTCCCAGCCATGGTCAGACATATTTTCTTTCAGGTATAAGCACTCATTAGGCACCTGCTTGGGCAGAGTAACAGTGATGAGACCCCTGACACCTTATTGCCAGTGTCTTCATTCAGCACCATCTCTTAGCACCTCAGAGCTAGACCGGGTCCAGCCACTCTTCTCCTCAGTCTGCCCTAAAGTGACAATCATTCTGTGAAGGGACTTGTATTTTCTCCTCCAGCTCCTCCTCCCCAGGGCGAGCAGGCACTTAATAAATAAAGGCGGACTGGGTGGACTGTGGATTCACTGCACCCTCCCAGGCCTCCCCAGGCCTCCATCATCCTATGTACTCCAGCTGCTCCAATCCATCCTTCCCAAACTCACTGATCCACACAGCACACCATGAAGGCCTTCAAGGCAGGATTCCACCTCCATCCTTTCAACCTCATTCCCCAGAACCCACCAGCTCCAGAAGCTTCTTCTCATGACCTCAGAATGTCAGAGCTAGAAGGCATCTTGAAGACCATTGGGAAACAGGCCCAGAGAGGGAAACTGGCCTGCCAAGGGTCCCACAGTGACTTGTTGGCAAAGCTGAGACAAGACCTCAATTCTCCTAGGTTCCCTGTCCCAGGAAACATGGGATCTCTCCCTGCAGCCCCACTCTTTGACCAAGAAACGAAAAGTGATCCCTAACCATCCAGTTTTGAAAACAACGTGCCTCAGGGTTGAAAGCAATGGAGGAAACGTCTCAAACGAGAGGATCAGTTTTCACCACGAGGAAAGCAAGTGAGAGCAGGAAATGCTCTGGAACATTTGACTCTGACACGTGTGTCTGGTCCTGAGCAAGGGGGAGGCGGGGACAGTGAGGGTGGGGGCTTCTTCCATCACCAGCGAAAGCTGTTTTGAATCATAGAATCCAAGAAATGATGAATCATAGTCACCAAATCTTAGAAATAATAGATCTTAGAAAGGAGGCTTCTTGAAATGCCTGTTTCGTAGGTTTCAGGGTCTGTGCTCAGTCTACGCCCCGCCCCCACCCACCCCCATCTCTCAGCTCCTCAGGCCCCTCCTGTGGTTATGCACTAGGGCTTATCCCTGTCCTCTGCATATTTGCCCTGCACACTTCCCTCCCCTCCAGGGGTTTCAGCCATCAACTCTGAGGACCCCCCTCCTATGTGTGTATTCAGCAAACATCAAAGGGATACCTACTTGGTGCCAAGCTCTGGGGCTACCACAGGAAACATGTTAAATTTTTAAAAAATCTGACCCTCAAAGAACATATGTCAGTGGGGAAAACAGAAAAAGAAATTAAGAACTACACCCACCCTCCACTCTTCAGTAAATTCTGACTCATAGCAACCCTATGTGGTACTGGTAAGTACTTTCTAATCAGTTCCGACTCATAGCGACCCCACATGTAGAGTTTTCAAGGAGTAGCTGTGAGGTTTGAACTGCTGGCCTTGTGGTTAGCAATCTGGTGCTTATCCAGTAGCGCCACACCTGGACTCCAAGCAACCCTACAGGACAGAGTGAACAACTTCATAGACTTTTGAGGCTGTAAATCATTACGAAAGCGGACTGCTTCATCTTTCTCCTGAGGTGGGTTTGAGCCGCCACTCTTTTGCGCCACCAGGGCTCCCAAGAAGAGCACACGCAGATAATGTTGGATGCTAGCAGGAGAGGCTATGAAAAAGTCCCTGGGTTGTGCAAAGAGTCATGCACTCAGTTGCTAGTTGAAAGATGGTGGTTTGAACCCACCAGGAGGCACCTGTGAAGACAGACTTGCCAATTGTTTCTGAAAGATCACAGTCTTGAAAATCCTCTCCAGCAGCTCTACTCACACACATGGGTTTCCGTGATGGCAACTCACAACAACAACAAAGGCAATAAAGAGAGTGAAGCAAGATAAGGGAAGAGTGACTGAGACTGAGAGGCCTCTCTCAAGAGGGGACACTGGCAGAGAGTGAGCAGGGGAAGGGGCCCCATGGCTCTGCAGGAAGGCCATCTAGGTGGAGGCAACAAGGAGGACTAGCCCCCCAGCATCTGGAGGTCAGTGTGGCTAGAGAAAAACAAAAGAGGAGGGGAAGTGGGCCAAAGAGACCAGAGACCTCTCTGTGTGGGGGCCATAGTGAAGACTGAATTTGGGTGAAATGTGGTGAGTTTTGAGCAGGCTGTCTGATGAGGACAGGCTGTAAGGAGGGGAGAATGAACAGGGTAAGTGGCACCTTAGGCCTCACGTGGACCTGAATCCTGGCTCCACTTCTTACTTGCTGAATAACTCTCCATAAGTCACTTCACCTCTTTGAATCTTATTGCCTTATGTCCTAAAGAAAAAAAAAACCTAAACTGAAAATAAACCCTTAAACAGAAAAAAACAAAGCTGCTCCCATCAGTCGATTCTAACTCATGGCAACTCCGTGTGCTACAAAGCAGAACTGCTCCGTTGGGTTGTTTTCTTGGCTGTATTCTTTACAGATTACTCCTGGGGTTGATTCATGAGTCAGAATCAACTTGATGGCGATGGGGCTTTGGTTTTTTAAAAAAAGTCCTTACAGAAACAGATTGTCTGGCGTTTCTTCATGGTGCTGATGGATGGCTTCAAACCTCAAAATTTTGGGTTAATCCTTGAATGCAAGCTATTTGTACCACCTAAGGACCTTTCATGTAAAAATGGGCCAATAAAACAATGGTGGGGCGGGTGGTGGTGGAATAATAACTGTTGTCCTTCTACCAAAGAAGTTGGGTGTGGTCTGGGAGAGATCAGGGCACTGGTCAGTCAGCAGATTCTCCCTGTTGCACACTCTATGCCAGCAGAGTGCTGTGCTGTGCACCCAGAGAGGGGCAGCCCCTCCCAGCCGGGTGGACAGACCACGCAGGATGAGAGACAGCAGAGTGAGTGCTCAGTAAGCACTCTGACCACCCCTATCCCTTCCCTCTAAACCACATCCGAATCCCTGGGTACTGAAGTCACGGGTTACCGGATGAGGTCAAGCAGGGCGTCGGCTGAGCTCATGATGGGCTTTCCACTCTGCGCCGTCATTTCCTTCTGGGCCACCCCGCCAGGGTGGATGGTGGTGACCATGACGATGCCCACGATGACCGCCATGAAGGTGGTCCACAGGTAGTAGGCTACGGTGAGGATGCCCAGGCGGCTGGAGGTCTTGGGATCCAGGGAGGCGAGGCCAGACACCAAGCTGGGAGAGTGGATGTAGATTAGGGTCTTGGGTGTGGGAGACCCTAGTAGCAGCCCACTCTGTCATACACTTCCTCCCAGCTGTGCCCACCACCCTCCCAGCACCACATGCACAGAAACCCTGGTCTTCCAATCATCAGTCCTTGTAGCTCCTTCAGCATCTTCCTCCTCGGCTCTCCCTCACCCTCCCCATCTTACAAGATCAGCAGCCGTCATACCCATTGGCTTTTGCATGTTCTGTGTCCTCTGTCTGGTGCCCTCTATCAGCCTTTCTTCACTTGCCTAACTCCTCACTAGACAAGACCACACTCAGAGTCACAGCTTTAGTGAAGTCTTGTTTGGACTATGAGCCTCTTCCCCATTCCTGGCCGCCTCTGTCATGACCCTGCTTGCCACTGTCTGTTTGCCTGTCTGTCTCTCTCATCAGACTGAGAGCATGTGAGGGGTGAGAGAGGCTTGACGTGCCTGTGGGTCCCCAGAGCCCAGTATGCGCTGACGTGGAGCAGGGACTCAGGCAAAGCTAGCTGAGTAAGTGAATGAGTGAGAGCACTGGGTTGGGAATTGACAGCTTGGAACCTAGCCCTAGCTCTGCCAACTGATTATGTGACTTTGGGCAAGCAAGTCACTCCTGCATCCTTGGGTCTCAGAATTCCCATGTATGAAATGAGATCAAGGTTAGATTTTTTCTGAGAGGTATCGCCCTGTGGCCTTTTTGGGTTAGTGCCTGGGCCCTGACTCTCCTTCATAGGAGTTTATGTTGAGGGTGGTTGTGAATCTCTCTCCTCTAGGTTCCTCTCCACCCCTGGCCACCCAGACCTGGGCTTCCCTCTTCCCTCCCACTCCCTTGAAATCTCAGGGTCACTCCGCTGTGGCTGTAGGTGAAAGATTAATTAAGGAAATGCTTGTGCTTTGCTTTGCTGCCAAAAGCGTTTTCCCCCAAAGCACTTTTATTCTCTCAGATAACGGAAGTATTTGTCTGGCTTTAATCATGTAAACAAGAGTGGATAATCCTTTCCTGCACACCCACCCCTTTTATCCTTGAGCTAGAGGACCAGCTGGCCCTTTTCAATACAGCAGAAATGTACTCTTCCATTAAGACCCAGCTGAAAGATCCCTTCCTCCAGGAAGCCTTCCTTGGCTCCCATGGACTTGTGTTTCTTTCTGCCCCACGCACATCTCGCTGAGTTACCAAATGTTTACTGAAGTGTCTCCACAACTGGACCTGCGTCGGAGTCAATGATGTGTTCATAGAGCTGGCTCAGAGCACCTCTTGGTACCACTTTTCAGAATGAAGGAGTGAATGGATGAAGCCCTCATCTACCAGAAGCCATATGTTAATGATGGGCGTCAGCCAGAAGTCCAGAGGGCTCATAATGGGATTGCACAGCTGCGGAGTGGTATACCCTGCCGTCACTATCCACGAGACAGATTACCCAGACCAGGGCCACAGAGGAGTTCCCCATAGTCTGGTCCTACCATCTCTGTCACTGGGAAAGCAAAGCATGACCTCGAAGGGCAGGGGCGGGGGCAATCTGACTAGTGACCATCCAGTCCAGAACTCAGGCCCCAACGCCAAGCCTGTAGCCTTGATCCCTGTCATTACTCAAATCTTCAGAGCACGCTGTCTAGAGCCATGCGCTGTGTCCACAGAAAGACATCAGAACTTGTCCCTGACCTCAGAAGTCCTGGGTCTGGAGGGCCTGGGGAGGGAGACAGATATGGACACTTTGGACATAACGGACATCAAGAAAACCCTGGACAAGGTAGACATAGGGAGGGGTCACTGCTAGCGGAAAGAGTCAGGAAGGGCTTCCTGGAGGAGGTAGCATTTGAGTTCATTTCTGGAGGATTAGGATTTAGAAATAGGGTGGCACTGTAGGATAATCACTGGACTTCTAACCCCAAGGTTGGCGGTTCAAACCCACCAGTCACTTCTCAGAAACCCTACAAAGGGTTGCTATGAGTTGGAACTGACTCGATGGCACTTAACAACAGCAACATGCCAGGCAGAGGGGGAGCAGAAGCATTCGGGAAAAGTGTGAGAACACTGGGCCGTTTAATGTGGTCAGGTCAAGTTATGTTTGAGGAACAGTGATAGATGGGACAGAGAAGACAGATTAAGCTCAAAAGACCTGGGGAGACCTTGAGTGCCTGGCCCAGGGGCACTGGGGCGCCACTGAGGGGTGCTTCAGCACAACTCATCTAGCAGACTTTGCTGAACATCTGAGGACAGAGAGCTAAGAATTCTTCAAATGTACAAGGTGGGAACAAAATTTACCCGGAGGGTCACTGACCGATGCAGAAACCTGGGAACAAACTAAGAAATCATCCACGTGGATTAGAGTAAAAATTATGATGGCATGTCTGTGATGGAGCTCGAAGCAGCCTTAGAAGTGATGGTGTCACTGGAAAGACGTTCCCAACTTGTTGTCAAGTGGGAAAAGCAAGTCATAAGATAATTTGTAGCTCTACAGGGAGCCCTAGAACCACATGAGAGAGATCTTTCCTGTTTTGTGTTCCAAGCATACTAGGGTAAACAAAGAAGCATTATTACAAAATCACAGAAACCTTTATTAAAGAAAAATATCAAAATGTGAAGCTATTGCTTTTTGACATACCCTCCACCTCTGTCTACACACTTCTGAAGGCGGTGTTTCCATATCTCTAGTCCTGGTGTGGTGCTATGGGCTAATGCATCAGGCTGCAAAGTCGTTTGAACTGCAAGGTTGATGGTTCAAGCTCACCAGCTGCTCCTTGGAAATGCTATAAAGGGTCACTATGGGTCAGAATCGACTCAACAGCACTTAACAACAACAACAACCTTCCCCTAGTGTAGTGCTGCAGGATAATGCGCTTGGCCACAAGGTCAGTTTGAGTCACAAGATTGGCAGTTCAAACCCACCAGCCACTCTTTGGAAATCCTATACAGGGTTGTTATAAGTTGGAACAGACTCAATGGCACTTAACAACAGCAAGCTTTCCCTGAAGGACTCTGCACTCATCAGTTTGTTGTTGTCGTTAAGTGCCGTTGAGTCGGTTCCGACCCATAGCGACCCTGTACAGGGTTTCCGAGGGTGTAAATCTTTACGGGAGTAGAAAGCCTCATCTTTCTCCTGCGGAGCGGCTGGTAGTTTCAAACTGCTGACCTTAAGGTTCGCAGCCCGATTCGTAACCACTATGCTACCAGAGCTCCTTACTCATCAGTTTACACCATGTCAAAACGGCAGTTTGGGCATCCTCAGGGGCCTCAAATTATGTTCCTTTTCAATGGTCTTTGAGTTTTAGGAACAAAAGGAAGTCTAAAGGGGCAAGTGGACAGGACAAGGCTTCTCAACAAAATTCTTATAGGCAGCCCCTTGCTATCCTCAAGGAAAATAACCACTGTGATGGAAAAGAATTTCTCAGTACAATTTTCCTGGCCTTGTTCTCCCCACAAGTTTCCAACTTTAAAAAACTTCTTCCTGATAAGCTCCCATGATTGTCCTGTATCCTCCCAGAAAATCTATCAAGCTTATCCCTTTGGAATGCCCCCAAACAGTCACCATAACTTTCTGAACTGGCCCAGTAGATCCCCTCAGAAGTCACATTTTTAACTTGGCCTTTCTTTTGAAGTCATCTTGTTGTTGTTGTTATTAAGTGCTGTTGAGTCAGTTCTGACTCATAGTGACCCGGTATAGGATTTCCAAAGAGCAGCTGGTGGGTTTGAACTGCTGACTTTGTGGTTGGCTGTCAACTACTTATCTTACAGTGCCACAATTTAATGACACTAAAATATGTGTATTACTGAACTTGCCTGCAGCCATCCATGGATCATGTTTTGTTTGTATGAGCTGGAACCCTACTAGCAATACTTTTTGACTTACCATTGTACATCAAGTGTTTGAGGGATTTGCAGGAAGAGGGGTGCTGGTGAACACCAGACTTCAGAAGGAGCTAACGGACCTCTCAGAAGAAGGCCCCTGAGGAAGAGGGCTAACACAGGGGATGTGCTGACTCAGGTAGGGTCCCTGCCCCTATTCTGACTTAGCCCAGGGACAACTAATGACTCCCGTAAAGGAGAGAGCTGGTGGATGAAATGGAAAGAATTCCACCACCTTGGTCCTAAGCCTTTCTGTTCTGGACTCCATCCCTTCAGTCATGGGAAGGGCTTTCCTGTTAGTTAGTGAGCAGCAGGGATGGGGAGGGAACAGCTGGCAATAGTTGACAGAGCCGACCGCCTCACCCAGGCAGTGCTTGCCAGTAGGTGTTCTGGTAAGCAATGGCAGAGGCATGGATTCCATTCAGACAGCCGCACTCACTGAACGCTCAGTGACAGGAAGGTGCTGTCATGTGGCTGTCTGGCTATAGCCTGAGCCTTTAGGGCTGAGCAGTTACAGTAACCTTTCTGAGGTGTTACAAGCTGGGGTAAGGAGCATAGTGGTAGGGGAACATTAGGTCACACAGACATGGGCAGAAAAGAAATCTCTAGAAAGTTTAACAGGAGTTCTCTTTTAGATGGTGGGATCATGGACAATATTTTTTCTTTCTTAAATTTACAATATAAGACTTTAGTCCACATTCCTTTGGATTAGGGTCAAATCTTTTGATCAAATGCACTTTCCTCTGTGTTAGGAGATCAAGGAACCATCATATTAAGGCCAGCTGAGTCTTTGTTCTTCAGCAGCCTACAGACTGTATATACTTGAGGTTAGCAAAACCCCAGCAATATCCTGAGGACTGAGTCCCTTCCAGCTGATTTAAAATACCATAATATCTCAGATATCTTTCAGAAGAGAGCCCAGAGAAATTACACAGGAAGCAAGGGGGAAAAGTGAGGTTAAGTGAACGAGGAGAATAGATCAGTATGTTGTTGTTATGTGCCGTGGAATCAGTTCCGACTCATAGCGACCCTGTACAGGGTTTCCGAGGCTGTAAATCTTTACGGGAGCAGAAAGCCTCATCTTTCTCCCGCGGAACAGCTGGTAGTTTCGAACTGCTGACCTTGAGGTTCTCAGCCTGATT